TCATACCTTGATACAGTTCAAAGTGTTCACATGTTTGATTGGTTAAAAGCCCGTTCTTATGATGGTGGTTAAATGCATGATAGGAGGTGTTATTCCTTATCTGTTTTGGCATTGTGTTCCAGAGTGTTGGTGCCCTCACAGAGAAACAGTGTTGACCAAAGGAACCTGCCCTCAGAGGGGCTGCACGGCCCCTCTGAGGGCTTGTGGTTCTGCTGTGTCAAAGTGCAGAGTGGTGGGGGTGCCTTGCAGTTTATAATCTTAAAAATGTCCTCCATGCAGATGGGGGACCTGCTGCCCTACAGCGACCCCGGCGTGGTCTTCCTGTTCATGGGATCCTTCGCGGTAGTGACCATCATGCAGTGCTTCCTGCTCAGCACGGCGTTCAACCGCGCTAACCTGGCGGCGGCGTGCGGCGGCATCATCTACTTCACGCTCTACCTGCCCTACGTGCTCTGCGTCGCCTGGCAGGACTACATCGGCTACGGGGCCAAAGTCTTCGCGGTAAGAAATTCGCCCTCCAGCCATCGTATTGAATGATGTATATAAGCCCTAAAACTAATTTAAAGATTATATTACTGAACATTAATCTTGTAAGACGATAAGATAATGTTTGCTTTACAGCAGCATCAAAACACAAGGCCTTGTCCAGTAACAATCAGATAAATAAACAATCCAAAATGTAAACACCTAAATAGAAAGAAAATAGCATTAACATTTTGATTTTACAAATGTACATTAACAAAGAAATGTGCATTATTGCAAGAGAGGTGAACTATATACATGTCAGATAAATGAGCTAATGTTGCGGTGAAGGCAAAATGCTATATCCATGTAAATATAAACAACAACAGAATGTACGATTAGATCCTGTACGGTGAAATGCTGTTTGTGTTGTGATGAGTACATGTGACCCTGCAGAGCCTCCTCTCCCCCGTGGCGTTCGGGTTCGGCTGTGAATACTTCTCCCTGTTCGAGGAGCAGGGCGTGGGCATCCAGTGGAGCAACCTGGTGTCCAGCCCCCTGGAGGAGGACGACTACAGCCTTCGCACCGCCATCATCATGATGTACGTGGACTCCTTCCTGTACGGCCTGCTCACCTGGTACATCGAATCCGTGTTCCCAGGTGAGACACTTTGAATCTGAATCAGAGTTCCTTCATCCCGGCCCGTCTACACTACAGGCATCAAAAAATCTTGAAGCTGGGCGTGTCTGAAGCTTGGCGATTTTTTGCGACCAACAACCAATCACATGAATCTCCCGCCCCCGACATACAAAGCAATAGCAATGTTAAAACGAAGTAAACTGGATATAAACTCCCCAAACAGGCGAAAACCTACCAGTTTCACCCACTGTCTCTGCCACCTCCCTCCATGCCTGGTTCCTCCGGTTTGTATCCCGGTAAATAGTTCTGGTCGTAAAGAACCGGGTGATTTGCTACCGTAATATCTCGTTTGGAATATGAGGAAATGAACTGCGGTCTGGCTCTCCCAGCTTGCACGCGGTTTGATTGGCTGCGCTTGCACTGGCGGGATTTGCTTAAACGGGATTTGATTGGCTGATG